TAAAGACTGAGGCAAAGAAGGCATTAAGTACCTCAGCCTTTTCCTCATCCTCGGTGACAATGTTCCCCCTGCATCCAATAAAGGATGGAGATTCTCCTTGGCTCTCTTTTTGTCATTAATATATTTGTAAAAACACTTTTTGTTGTCTCTAATGACAGCGGCCAGATTGCGTTCTAGCTGGGCTTTTGCCTTTCTCATTTCCTCTCTGCATGACCTAACGAGATATGCAAATACTGAATCATGCAATATCAAATTTCAAGGTTCTTCATCATTGTAAATAATCTTAAATTCAAGGCTTAGCCTTAGATGGGCAAGACTTCTATTGTTCAGTCCTAAAAAGAGTAAAAATTACGTCTATGTAAGAAATTAAAGAAACATATTGGGTCCGTCCATATAACAGAAGTTTTAATTTCCCTCTACGCATGCTAGTGAGGTCATACTTGTTCCCAGTTTTCAGGGCTCCCTCCTTCCCAAGATCAATACAGACAAAAGGAATTGGGAAAGGATCTAACAGAGGATTGGAGCCAAAGCAACTGAAAGGAGAGGCTAAGGGAGCTTGGCTTTGCTTAGTTTGCAGAAGCAGCAGCTATGAGGCATTCTGAAAACATCCTACAACCAAAGAGAAGTTACAAAGAAGGCAGAACCAAACTTTTCTTTACAGTGGCCAACAGTGTAACAGGAGGCCAAGGTTACAAACTGAGCCTTGGGAGGCTCGGTATGGATAATAGGAAGAACTTCTTTACAAGGAGATTAGTGTATCACAGGAAGATGTTGCCTAGAGATGCTGTAGAAGCTCCAGCCTTGGAGCTTGAAGACTCAGCCAAAGCCATGGCTGACCCGATCTAATACCCACAGCAGAGCCCACACAGCTTACAAAGCCAGTTCTCATCACATACTCCATTTCGGGTTTAGGAGGGAAAACAGCCTGTTTACTCTAGAAACAAGTCAGAGTTAGAGCTGATGGAATCATGGACTCCATGGATCATGGAATACAGGCTCAGGTACAAGCTACAGATGAAATGTAACGCTATACCCAGCTTCACACAAGTCACTCAGTTAATCTTAGTTGTATGTATATATTTGTATTTATTATTCATAATTTGCATTCTCATTTATGTACATTACTGCATAAAATACAAGTATTGCAGATAATATTAAAAAAATGGTCACTGGATTGCTCATTTCAGCTCTCCTTGAAACAAATCTTTGAACTCCCATGACTTCAATGGGTGCAATTACATACTAGGACATACATCAAAGGCTTCTGTTGAACATCTGGGAAGTCATTCTACGACTCTAGACAGTTAACAGCATAATATCAGCCAAAATACTTACAGCTTCCGATTTCCTTATACTGTGCCGCATATTATAGGGTTTGCTTGTGTAACATTGTTGCAGGAGAGCTTTCTCATCAAGAGCTGTAAGATGGTCATTATGTCCATCTTCAAGCTGTGTACCCTATACAAAAATACAATTAATTTAATTTGATTTATGAAAAGAATGTAAGAACAACAAGCAAACAAAATCCCTCCACACAACATTTTCCTCAACAATTTATTTAAAAGTCTTTTTCTTTCTTTCTTCATTTTTTAAAGTGTCTACTTCTTCTACTTCACGCTAATTAGAAAAAATAATTTTTTTAAGCCTAGCTTTCTACAGAAACTGAACTTACAAATCTTGCTCTCTAGTCTTTCCTTATAGCTTTTGAATACTTACCAGCTTTCAACCATATTGAAATAAAAAAAAAAAATCTCAGAAATACTGTGTTCCTGCAAGCTTTATGAAATAGCAGCAGCAAGTCAGAGAAGGCAGACTGTTAGTACCTCTCTGAAGAAGACGAGCTCATCTTTTCTCTGTTCTGTTCAAGAACAGCCAGGAGACAGCAGCGGATTTGCCATTATGCATATAGCTCAAAGTTCACCATTGCAGAGATGCTGCTTTTTGACCAGCAAAGAAGTTAAATACAGTCTAGACAGGGAAAAGCCAAAGCATACTGTTGAACTGGGTCTAACATACTTGTAAATCAGTCTGAGGGTATTACGGAAATATCTTCTACATGGAGGATATGAAGAAAACTGACAAAGGAGACTGTGTTTACAGAAGTCAGGAAGGAGAGAACATGGGAAAGAAATCAAAAGAGTAGGTTTTGTTAGCTATGCTCCTCTAGGAGCAGCTTCTTTTCAGAGAAGAAAAGTTATTACAAGCTCCACTAATCAGATAAAATAATAAGTATCTTGAAATCTAAAGAGGTTTTGATTTATTAATTTAATCAGGTAGTGATAATATCTAACACAGAAAATTGTTCTGCTAGACATATTAAAATCTGTCATAAGAACTGACACACATGGCTTCTAATGCTTAGCAAGTATCTTTCTGGAACCCAAAAATCACCAGAATAAGCCAGTCCTGCTCTTTCTCTCCCAGTATACACTTGCCACCTATTTCTTCAGTTTCAGATTAACTCAGCTGCTCCTGTAAATACCCTTTTGATGAGCTTGCAGTACAGCATATAAAGGAGTCACTCCTTGGAAAACAGATGTCATGATGGTGTCAGACTGGTACATAAGAGTAGAATAATTAAAAAAAAAAAAGTAATACTACAGGAAATCCCCAGAACTGACAATCTTAACTGCCACCAAACATAAAACTAAACTTAACAAAATAATAGAATTGTTTTTTCACTCAACTGTTTCACTCACAGAATGTTTACTTATAGGTACTTGCAGGTTCTCCAAGTTTTATCTGAACACTACAAGCGTGACTGTAAGAGGAGAAAACCTCTTTAAAACTATCAACAATATGTGTAAAACAGTAACAACAATATGTGAAACATAATCTTTGTCTTATGTAAGACGTTCCCTTTTCGTTCTACTGAACATTAAGCAAGTAAAATCAGTAAACTCATTGTTATTCATGACAAACCTTTTCTCTGAAAAGCAATGAGCACAATATGTTCCCTCAACATCTGCATACTTTACTTTTCATTAAGATTCTTAAATGGTCACCTACCCTCAGCACAATCTAGCATTCAACCAGTCCTCACAGCTGTTGCTTACTTGTGTCTCCTGTTTCCTTACACCTACAATGATGTATCTTGCTCTGTGCAACAACCCTTCTCCACTATCTCTTCCAGAACAAGAGGAAAGTTGGGTTTTTTCACCCCTTTGTTTTCCAGTTTCTCTCCACTGATCTTCCTTTGTTTTCATCTTAGGTTTAATTTAAAATCACGAAAGAAACCTGGCAGAATTAATATAGCTTGCAGTCCAACTTTGCAGTCCAACTCTACTGGATCTTATACAACGTCAAAGCAAAAAGTAAGATAATAGCTTTCATTATTTTAACCCCATATTCCCTTCCATTTTCAGTGTTAATAGTTCTCTAAGGTATAGATTACATTTTTCACTTTTCCTTTTTTAAGTCCTATATACAGTCATAATTAAATAGAATAATAATTAATATACTTCTATATTTAAAAAATAAAAAAGCTTGACTGCATTTCTATATTTGGAAATAACATTTTACCAAGATCTTCCTGCTGTCTCTCATCTTCTTAGGCTGCAAACTCCTTCCTATCAGCCATGCTAATCTTCATGCTCAGGCTAGAGGTGCACTATGAGGGCAAACATTACATTTCTTACCAAAGAATACAAGCATACTTAGATTCTCAGAGCACCTCAGTTTCTCACTCTGGAACAACTGAAACAAGCTTCCTATATTTTATTTCCTACTCAACATTAGACGCTGAAATTACACATATTTTTATTTCTTTACAATAAAAACATGGAAGAAATTAATTACACACACATGCAAACCTCTCCAAATACCAGCATATATTTTATTTCTAAAAATGCAATTACTTCTTTGCCAGCTACCTTTATTGAAGCTTCTGGACACTGGAGGTGGTCTTTTCTCTTTTCTGCAATTCTCTGAGAATACTGCTTATATTCTTCCTTCATATCTGCTTCATACTGACGATACTTCAGCTTATATCTGTCTGTTGGGGATAGCAGATTTTCTGGTACTGTCTTCTGCTCCAAAACAGAATGCTAAAGCAAAGAAAAATCAATATAAAAGCCTCTGGCTGAGCTATTGAATGAGAACAGCATTATCATATTCCCATCCAGCATAACTCCTTCTGAAACTCCTTGACACTATGCTTCACATTAAGAAAAAATGCAAATATGACTGCATATTCAGGTTTAATTTTCATTGAGTTCTTAATATTCTGCCATTTTTTAATCTAAAAAGTACACAGCCAAATGGTTTTACATCACTTTTAAAGAGAGAAGCCAAAATTCAGTGGTTCTGTCCTATAAGATAATGTTACAGATCACTAAAATGGGAATTCTGACATTTGATTTTGGGTGGCTGAAAATGGACTGATGGATTTTTTCAATCAGAAGTTCTGATATTCTTGGATGGCAGATGAGTATTAGTATTGGGATTTCCTTCCCCAGAACAACATCATCTGAAAAGGCTGTGAAGCCAGCTAAGTACCTTCCTAACTTTACGTCCTCTTCAGTGCTCTACACAATTGAGGCTGGATCAGTAGAAACAGCAGCAATGACAGAAGGCCAAGACTCCATTCTTCCTTCTCTCCCTGAATAACTACCACCTTCAATGTTTAAGTGATATTCCTTCAACGCTAACAAAATTGAGACGGCCTTATCTAGCATCTCCACTTGACACATCTCATCTTGCAACTGTAGTGTAACAGTCCTGTTCTAGAAAACCATTTCTCAAAAACCCAGAAGATTTATGTTCTTGAAAGGGCAGCTTTCTCTTTCAAAAGAGGATCCACATCCCTTCACTGGTTAATTCCTGAAGGATAAGACTATATTTAAATTATTCTTCCAAAAGTGACCTATTTTGGGACGATTTACTTACACAGTCTGTTACTGAAGAAGCTGGAATATATCTTGCTAAAGGAATGCTCAGTCAGGGCCCCAGAAGCAAGCAGTGCAGAAATAAAGGCCGCTCAGAGGAATACATTAAAATATTTTAGAACTGCTTGAAAATCTCCACAAAAAAGAAGGGGGGGGGGGGGGGAGGCAAAAAGAGAGAGAGAGAGGGAGAGCAAAAGAGTGTAAGTGAACATAAGATACATTCCTGCACATTCAGCACTTCAGTATTTAAGACATAATGAAGGCAGAAAGGAAGCAACAAGAGATAAAGGAAAGCAGAGAAGAAAGGGAGAAAGACCCTGGGAAACAGACAAAGCCATACCAACCTTCCGTTAGCCTTCCTGCAGCTAGACAGAATTATATGTATGAACTTTATATTTTAAAAAAAAGGTAAAGCAAGTGGTGAAATTATAGGCATCCAGACCTAGAAAGAGTATAGCAACTCAAGTATGTTTGCACTGCACACTTACAAAGCAGTACAGAGGAAAATAACCTATCCGTAGTTACATGTTTACAGTTACATCTTAAGACATGCATAAATACTTACATTGGGCACATAGATATTCTGAGAAGTAGTGCATTCTTAGTCCATTATTTAAAAAAAAAAAAAAACACTTAACCATTTCAGTTTTTATCTAAAGGCATTTTTTTTTCAAGTTAAGAAAACATTTGGTTATATAGGGAAACATATAAAATGATGATCTTGGCAGGTTCACCTTGAGCTCCAGCCAATTTGGAGTCCTGCCACACAAGTTGCTATCTAATTCGTTTCAAGGGGCACAGGTTATGTACAAATTAACTAATAATTGTTTTTCCCACTAGCTACACTTCTGTTTTAAACACACTCATTAGAGTATTTCTTAGGTTTACATAAGTTAAATATTTTTGAAATAATGGATTTTTAAACAGTATATTTTCCCATTCTTCCAAAAAGAGGTAACATTGATAAGTTAGGATATTTCCTGCACCCTGACCAAATAAAAGCGTACTACTACTAGTAAGATTTTTACAATGATAATGTCTGGTGCACGATTATGACAGAAAATAATCATGTAGGTAGCATTCTTCCTGAATTAGTTTAAAGTTCTAGATATCTAGTCTTTCGAATATATAGGCACTACAAACAGAAGACTACTGTTTGCAGTACTTCAGCATTTTCCCTTTAATTATCACATTTGAAACACTCAAAATACTGATGGAATGATAGGAGATTAAAAATAGTCTCTCCAATAAGCTAGTTCCTGTCACACAAGAGAAGCTAAAACATATTGCATTTTCAGATCATATACCTCAGTACTCTACTACTGAACTGCTTATGTTATTTTGTCAGTGTGTATTTTTTCAGCTACTTTACCTCTATTTTCTTCTGACAAGATTTTCTAGACACCTGTTTAAACTAAAGGAAAAGAGAAATTAAATATGTATCATGATCAAATAAATTGTCACGTTCATTTGTTCAAATTTAATTCAGATATAAGACTTCAATGGAAAACTTTTCCTGCATTCAGGGAACTGTAATAACTGAGTAATTAATTCTTAAAATTGTTATAGTGGATATTGATCCTGAACAGTGCTGTACTGTACTATAAATCAGAATGTTAGCATCTGGACTACCGATTTTCCTTATAAAGCACCTAAGATTAGCGGTGATTAAGTTTCTCAGTCATCCAGGGGAAAAAAATGCTGATATGTGATCAGGAAATTTTAATAAAAGTGTTCTGATAAATTGAACATAATTCCAAAGCTAACATCACGGTTCTGTTTTGAAGACAAGAGACTTAAGAAAAACCCTATGAAATGGCTGCACGTAACTCCAAAAGTTTCCTTTTCACCAAAAGTAACTATTCTTCCATAGAAATAACACTAACTGTTTGTAAACTCGGGTTTTGTCTTCAATCATACACTTCCTGGCTACTATCGATCTTATCTTTATTAGTTTTGTAAGTTCCACTTTGTTTAGAAAGATAAACCAAAGTTACAAGCTACCTCAAAAGTATTACATTTTTCAGGTGCTTTGACAAATTGTTAATAAAGCTAACTATTAATACATCCCTTCAAAAATGAGTACAATGAAAAGGATGACTGTATCAACCAACAAAGAAGAGCTAAGGTATATAAGAAAATAGGATTTTTGAAATATTCTAGAGGCTTCTCAGTAAAAAGTTGCGGTGGGTGACCCGGGCTGGATGCCAGGTGCCCACCAAGCCGCTCTATCACTCCCCTCCTCAGCTGGACAGGGGAGAGAAAATGTAACGAAAGGCTCATGGGTCAAGATAAGCACAGGGAGATCACAGCAATTACCATCACAGGCAAAACAGACTTAACTTGGGAAAATTAATTTAATTTATTACAAATCAAAACCAGAGTAGGATAATAAGAAAATAAAAACTAAGTCTTAAAACACCTTCCCCCCACCCCTCCTTTCTTCCCAGGCTCAATTTCACTCCCGATTTTCTCTACCTCCTCCCCCCAAGTGCTGCAGGGGGACGGGGAATGGGGGTTGCGGTCAGTTCTTCACATGTTGTCTCTGCCGCTCCTTCCTCCTTAGGGGGAGGACTCCTCACACTCTTCCCCTGATCCAGCGTGGGGTCCCTCCCACGGGAGACAGTCCTCCACGAACTTCTCCAATGTGAGTCCTTCTCACGGGCTACAGTTCTTCACGAACTGCTCCAGCGTGGGTCCCTTCTACGGGGTGCAGTCCTTCAGGAACAGACTGCTCCAGTGTGGGTCCCCCACAAGGTCACAGCTCCTGCCAGCAAACCTGCTCCAGCGTGGGCTCCTCTCTCTCCATGGGGCCAACAGGTCCTTCCAGAAGCCTGCTCCAGCACGGGCTTCCCACAGGGTCACAGCCTCCTTCGGGCACCCACCTGCTCTGGCATAGGGTCCTCCACGGGCTGCAGGTGGATATCTGCTCCACCGTGGACCTCCATGGGCTGCAGGGGGACAGCCTGCCTCACCATGGTCTTCACCACGAGCTGCAGGGAAATCTCTGCTCTGGCGCCTGGAGCACCTCCTCCCCCTCCTTCTTCACGGACCTTGGTGTCTGCAGAGTTGTTTCTCTCACATATTCTCACTCTTCTCTCCAGCTGCAGTTGTTCCGCCACAGTTTGTTTTGTTTCCCCGCTTCTTAAATCTGTTATCACAGAGGGGCTACCACCGTCACTGATGGGCTCAGCCTTGGCCAGCGGTGTGTGTGTCTTGGAGCCGGCTGGCATTGGCTTTATTGGACATAGGGGAAGCTTCTAGCAGCTTCTCATAGAAGTCACCCCTGTATCCACCCCACTACCAAAACCTTGCCACACAAACCCAATACAAAAGTCAAATGCCAAAAATATTTTGGACCAATAGCACTTGTATCTTCAAGTTTAACCAAAAGAAAAAAAGAGAACTTGTATAACAAAGCTAAGTATGCTTTTCTAAATTACTGCTAAAGGGGCATATTTTAAAGATATTTCTAGTGACAGACTGACCTGTTGAGCCTGATGATACTGTGCATATGGCGTTTGTAATGATGTTCCCCAATCTGAAGATGAATCTAGAGGGCATGTATGAGGATAACTTCCACTGTATGGTATGTAAGAGTCCCCATCCTAAAATTACAGGAAAAAAAAGAAAAAAAAAGGACAAGCAATCGTAATTGTTTTATACTCAGAGTGATATTTTTATAAACTCCTGCAACACATGAATTCCAAAAACTATTCAAGACAGAATTAATTTATAATTACCTCTTCATCAGAATCTTCCAGCCTCCCTAGATCTAGGCATGGCACCCTGCAGGAAGTTAAAACGATTTTAATAGCAATATGTTCTCTTATTTTGCAATCACAGTAAAAGCAAACTGCCTATTAGTTGTTGTTATTACTAGCTCCTTCACAAAAATTTCCCTGCTATGAACAGTTTCACTCCAACTGGAGATGGCCTACTTGGCAAATCCCTATTAGCCCCTCTTGCTTCAGCCTCAGGAACTGGCCAGTGAGCTTTTCCTCTTCCCCAGTTGCAGAGTACCCTGGCAGCCAAAAAGGGCCCCTGCAAGGCCCTTCTTCACTCCCAGTAAGGCCATCCTGGCTTCTCTCCACTCCTCAACAGGAGCTGCTGCAACAAGATCATAAATCAGGGATTCCTTATTCCCATCTTCTACAGCAGGCCTGTGTCAACATCCCTCTATAATCAGTCACCAGAGAAGCAACAGGGAAGCAACAGCTCCTTGGGATGCAAACCTTCCAAACTTTTTGGAAGAGATTAACACAGTGGAAGCCAACTAGACTTCAGTATTTTATTCTGCTTAAAGAAATGAAAACATCTCCAGTTCATCAAAGCATCTCTGTGCCTTCTGCCTTTACGCCAGGTATACTCCGGAGCACCACGATTACGTATTTTTTGTATTTTACCACCAATATTTCCAAACAACCCTATTATAACAAGATTACTTCTTGGAATAAGAGAGCTCCTTAATTTCCAGTGTTTTTTCATTAGAGAATGACTGACAGTACACAGAAATTGAATTTCTTTGACTTTGATATGAACAATCCAAGGTCATGGTCACACATACTTGTAAAATAACGTAGAAAGATACATTGGCTGTAAGGCATTTCAGTAAACAAAAAACCCTGAACTGTCAAACATGGTTCTTGGAATAGCAGATGTTGCTTATCTGCTGAAGTCACTATAAGGTTTTAAAATTTATAAGCACTGTACAAAATTTCCCATTGCTTGTAAAAACTCTTCACAACAGTTTCTCTGTAATTTTTACTGTAATACCTGCAAAGAAGGCCAATAGTTAAAAAATGCATTTCTCTTTTGGCAGACTATTATATTAAAAATATTCAAGAAAGACCAGGCATAAATATGAAAGCTCTGAGTACAACTCTACTGCTAAGCTCAACCAAATGTAAATCAACTTAATTCCAATGTAAATAATGCATCAAATATTCTACTCTAAATATAAGTCATAGAAAACAAACCTATGATGATAAATTTCATGGAACACTGAGTTGCATATCAATACAAATGCAAATGCATTGTGTTAATAACGCACAATTAAACAAACTGATCAGAAATAGAAGCAGACTTACTCTGGCGGGCGAGGACCATGAGTAGCCCGTGTATCTGGTCTCCAGCCCTAGAAGAATGATGCATTATTACATAGCTACAGGGATCAGGATTAAAATACATAGTTCTCTCTTTCAACTTCCCCTGGAATATTTAAAATCAATGCCTCAAAAGTATCCGTCTGACATTTGATTGAGATGCTACTAACAAAAGGACAAAACAAAAACTTTTCATTGAAAGTTGATTCTTACAGGTCGTGAGACTAAAAGACTGAATATTCATCGTGACAGAAAGATTTCCAGCCATTAAGAATCCAGAATCCAGATAGTATCCACATCAGCTATTAATAACGCATTAAAAATAATCCATGTTTCTGTACAATCACTGCTCACAAGGTTTTAGGTCATATCGTCCTTGTTGGTTGGGAACCAACTCCTCAGCCAACTCTTAAACCAAAACCACAATACCGACAGCCAGCTGGCTCACATGGAACTAGCTCAGACCCCAAAGCAGCCTTGATATTTGGTGTAAATGTATCATCTCAGCTTTAGTATAGCAGCACATGATGATGACTAGGCAGCTTGTGTACTCACACTGTTTAGTTTGCGTGGCTGTGTACCACACAGATCTCCAAACTCAACTGAGCAAGAACACAGCAAGAAGAAAAGACTTGAGCCAAAGCTCCATCTGCCTCTCTATGGCTTTCTGAAAACAGCCAACAGCAAATCCCTAAGGAAGACTGTATGACTGAGGCAAGCACATAGTAACAATTCCCCCAACTGGCCTCCCGGTCTGAAAAAAATGTGGATGCTCTGAACCAGGGCCAGCATCTTTCTTTTCACACTCTTCGCTCAGAGATCTCAGCATCACAGTCTGAATTGAGCAGACATCCTATTTCCAGCGGCGGCCTAACACCTTTCATGATTTGAGAGCAGTCACAAAACCACAACTCCTTTTCTGCCACACCCCCTTGTAGCCTGCTCCTGAAAAAGAAGTTCACAGTTCAGCAACACTACCCTCTACTGCCTTCAAAAAAGGGTAATCAGCTTTAATAAAAGAAAAAAGTTTCTCACCAGGAAGGTCTCATATAATAAACACCACCACCTTGTGGTCAAATATGTAAAAAACCGTTAAGAGATCTAACACAATTTAGTCTTACTCTTAAGACTAAATGCAATGCATTAAATCACAAGTGTATAATTTTTCTGTAACATTTCAACTGTGATAAGATAAAGAACATACCACATGCTAGATGTTAAAGTCTTAATGTAATTCCTTTTCCAGAAGTCATTGAATCAGGAAGAAAGGAAACAAAAATCATCCTGAAGACTGTCTACATTTACGGAGTGAAGCACATAGTTTCAACCTAATTTTAATCTATGATATATTTTTGCAAGCCACCAAGAATCAGATGGACTAGGGAGTCTAAATTTAGAAACTGAGGGGGATGAGAAAGAGAAGAAAAAAAGGGGTGAGAGATTAGAGAAAAATGGGCATTTTTTTTTCTTTTACAACCTACACTAAATGCCCCAAATGTTGTTGTTGTATACAGGTATTTCATTCTCAAAAGACTGGTTAAAAGGTAACATTATAAAATTGATATGCTATCATTCACAAAAGGTCCTTTTCATTCCAAATCAAACAAAAAAGGAAAACAGCAACTTGGCAGACAAACTCCAAGAATTCCTAATGCGGTCATCCAACAAGTAAGGAAGTTAAATGCGTGCTTGGGGGCTGAGGGAAGATTACCAATTAACTTTACTTCGCAGGCACAAAGTCCACAGTATCTGTGAGAAAAATCAACTGTTATTAAAAATATTAATATTTACCTTAGCTATAATAAAAACAATGGCCATCAGCATTCAAGATCATATTTGCAGTAATCAGGTTTTCAAAAGTTAGCCTGAAAGTTTCTGCTACAGTGATCTTGTGAGGGTTGCACACCTAACTTACCTCGAAATGTAGAAATGTAAAAACCTTCTGAAGTATGATTAAAATATTTCTTAAAATGTCAAAGTAAGGAAGGAAGACAACCACAAGCCTTCCATTAACAAACCTGACGTTTCTTCCCCCTCGATGACAGCTGAGTCTGCCTTCGAGAAGATGCAGCAACTCCTCTAACTTCCAAATCCATGCAAATTCAATGACAGCCTTCAGAATAAACTGAAAACCAGAAAAAGCTACTGAGAAAATCATGTATTTTTATATAAGTACTTCTGCAAATAAACATTACTGCATTAGAAAGAATGTGTCTATCACCAGTAATTTGGGTATTGTCTTCAGCAAGCTATGAAATGTTGCTGGCTTCCCTTTTTCAGCACCTCCTAATTATAGTCTTTCCTAATGCTTAACCAGATTCCCGTTCAAATTTACGTCTTTGCCTCAAATTAGCTCCCTCTGTGCCTTACACTTCTCTTGGTACCTTCTCATACCAGCACTAATGACTTGCTACCCCTTGACAACATCAAACGTTTTTTACTCTTCACTTACAGCTGCTGCCTGGCTCTCAACCGCACCATGCCCTGTGACCAGGTATTTTCAGGAAGACCCTCCTGGCACACAGCCGACCTCCGAGAGCTCCAGAGTGACGTTTTATCAGTACGCTATCTCCTGCTCTGCTGGTTTCTCCTTCCACCCAGCCAGTTTTGAACCAAAAGCCTATAATTTATTTCCCAGAAATCAGATGCTCCATTTTCAAATCACCGTCCACAGCAGCTGACCCCATTTGTACCTACTGAGCAGGTTTTAACTCCCAAGCGTCCTCTCCTTTGCCAAGCAGAAGCACAGCTGCAGGGCCTACTCGGAGACGGCCCCACAGCTGCTGACCGACAGGACAGCCTTCCAGCCATACCCCCTTTCCCAGAGCGCTTAAAATGAAGAGCCGCGGTCTTCGCACGACCTCAAGGCTCTCACTGAAATGCATCATCCTCCCAATTGAAGGCACAGGGGGAAGAGAGCGTTGTTGCATTTAACGGTTAACACACAGAGACAACGTCATCACAAAGAGCAATGCTGTAAGAGGTGAAATACACATTGTGGGTTGAGACAGCTCCACGGAAAGGATGTATTTTCCCGGGAGCGCACTGGGGCAGGCCCCAGGGCCCAGGAGAGGCCCGGGGCCCCGGTAGGGCAGGGCAGGGCAGGGCGCCGGCCGGGTCCCGGAGGGGCCTCACCGGAGCGGTCTCACCCACGGGGCG